TATTTTAAAAATTTATGAATTTTTAAAAATATTTTACAAGAATTTTCTTTAATAATTTAATTTATTCTTTAACTATTATTAGTACTTTTGTTTTAATTTGAAATAATAAAATTTAATTTTTATTTAGATGAAGTAGAATTACTTTGATTTATTTAAATATTCTTAAAAAAACATTATTCTTTATTTTTACTTCTTTTATGTTTTTAAGACAAAAGTATTGTTTAGTACTGCTTTTACTTATTTAGTTGTATTTATGAAATTTTGAAATAATATTACTCCATAACCTAATTAATAGATCTCATTTCTCACTAAAAAGACTAATAATAAAATAATCATCATTTAATAAAATAAAATTATTAATCTTATTAAACTAAAATAATTGAAATAAACTTTGTTGGTATTTATATTTCTTGAATTATAAGATTATGTAGATGATTAGCTATAACAAATAATAATTAAAACATTTATTTGTTATTTGATTTATAATGTAGTTAGAAGAACAAACATTCATCAAAAAGAATATTATTTCAAATCTACACAAACTTGAAAAAATTAAATCATTTTTTATAAAAAAAATAAAAAATAAATAGGAAATAAAAAAAAAAGTCAACTCAACAAAAAAACAATCAAGAAAGAAGAAATTGTGGTACAAAAGCAACAAGAAAAAAACAAGAATATACAATGTTATGTCATACTATCAATCAAAAAGAAAAATATAAAAAGGAAAAAAAAATTAAAAGATAATGAAGTTAAAGATGAAAAAGAAAAAGAAAAAGAAAGATTATAAAATAACAACAATTTATTTATTTCAAAATTAAATAATAAATTTTATCAATTCAACAAATTATTTTTCGTGGCAATTTAAATAAGAAAATCATCAAAACAAAATATATAAAACTATAATAAAATAAAATAAAAATTAATATAAATAATATTTTATAAATATTTCTTGATGAGTGTTTTAAAAGTAATAATTTTTTATGATTCTTCTCTTTATATTTTTTTATGACAAAGAACTTAAAATTAGAAATGATTGTGATTTTATTCATTTATGTTTTATATGTATTTGGTGGTTCTTTAGATAAAACGTGTGCATGTAAATGTGATGGTGATTCTACTACTTCAAATTACCAAATTAATATTATGACAGTAGATGCTGAATGCCCTGGTACTGCAACAGGTGAGATATTGGTATCTCAACTAAATGAAGGGTCGTTTGATGCCACAATTTCATATAACTTAAAGACTGTTCCTGGAGGTGCAAATGTCACATCAAGTTCTAGTGCGTTTCAAGTTAAGGAAGGAACATATTCATTAACTATTACTTACACATTTGAGACAAGAGATTTTGAGACAGGTACAGCAAGTTATAAATCATGTTCATGTTCATTTGATGGTTTAACAATTACAGCTAGGTATGAAACTATTAGTGGTATCACTCATGAAGTAACACCAAACCAACATTGTGCAGGAAGTTATGGTACGATTCAATGTGGTGCTAAGGTTAGTAGTGGAAATGTTAGTTATAGATTATCAGGTACAGAGTCAAGAGATTTCAATAAAGATGGTTTATTTTCTAATCTTCCAGTTGGAAGATATAGATGTCTTGTTAGTTCAACACATTGTGCTTCTCAAAGTGAAGAATTTTCTCTTCAATACTCTAAAAAATGTTCTTCAGAAAATATTTGGTTAGATAGACAAATTTATGGAGAAGGTCAAGGTTTGTTTATAGCAGGATTAGTGTTAATAGTTCTTGGTATTGTTCTTAACTTTTGTGTTTGTGTTTGTTGCTGTAAATTGATAGTTCATGATAGAAAATCAGAGAAGTTTACCAAAAAACAATTTGAAAATAAAACAAAGAAAAGTAAAAAACAAAAGAAAGAGGAAGATGAATTAAAAGAATTAAAATAAATTTATTCAATGAATAATTTATATGATTTTTGTTTAATAATTATTTTTTTGTTAAATAAATCAAAACTACTTAATAATTAATTAATAGTATTATTAATAAAAATTTATAGTAAATTTAAAGTTTAAATTTCTTTAAAAAAAAAATAATTCAAGAAGGATTTTATTTTATGGCAGAAAAAGAACCTGAAGAATCATATTATTTATCAAGTGAAACAGATGAAAGTGAAGAGAGTTCAACAGACAGTTATTCAAATGAAGAATTTGAAGAAGGAAAAGAAAATGCTGAAATAATTGAATCTGAAGATTTTAGAGAAGAAGATTATTCAATGGATGAGTTAGTTTATATGTATAGAAGTGCTTATCATTATTCGTTAGATAACTTTTACAATACTCTTCAAGAAATTAAAGAAAGTTATAATGCCATTATAAAAGAAAATAATACTTTAAAGGAAGACAAACAAAAACTTATACAAATTTATTCTTCTTCTAAAGAACTTATTGAAGAATTAAAGAAAAGAGATGATTGTCTTACAAAACAATATGATGAAATACTTGACAAATATGAAGAAGAACAACGTAGTCATACAAAAACTATTGAAGAATTACAAGAACTAAAGAAAAGTGAATTATTTGGAAGTACTAGTGCTAATGTTATTGCATCATTAAATATTAAAATTGAACATGGAAAAGTAGAAAATATTGAAGTTGTTCAATCAATGAATTCTATGGAAAATGACTCGTTAATGAAAATTTCATTATTAGAGAAAACAGTTGAAGAGAAAATGAGAAAAGAAAAAATACTTTTAGAAGAGAAAGAGCGAATTACCAAAGAAAGGGAATTAGAAGTCCAACGAATTAATAATGAAAAGAATCAAATGCTTCATGAGAAAGAAGAGTTAATTGAAAAACAAAGAATAAAAGAAAAAGAAATGCAAGACCAAATTCAATTGATGGAAACACAATTAAAAGCTAAAGATGAATTAATAATGAAAAAAGAAAAATTTATTGAAGAAAGTTTAATTGTTCAAGAAAATAAAACAAGACATTCTACTGCACAATCAGAAGTAATTAATGAATCAACAACACCAAAAGATGAATATAATAAAACTTCAAGAAGTGTTGGTGTTACTCCATCTTTTAAGTTAGAAAGTAAAAAGAGTTTAATGGAAATATCTAAACAACGTACTAAAAAATCATTAAATGAAATTGTTAAAGCTGTTAAAGATTTTAAAAATAAAGGAATTGGTTTATCCTTTAATGAACCTACAGAAATGGAAAAATATTCTATCAGTGAATTTAAACTCTCAAAAACTCCAACACCTAAGAAATATTTATATGCAAATAAAACACCATTTTATATTTCTTTTACACCAATTGAAGGTATTGAGGCATCTCCAAAAGAATTGTTTCTTATAAAATCAAAAAGAAATAAATCAACAGAATTAGTTAGTTTTAATAAGAGAACAAGAGCAGAAAGAGTTATTGCTGATAATGTATTACCTAATGAAAGTATTAATAATGATAACTTTTTAGTTTATCATTCTAATGGAAGAATAATATGGTATTCTTATCGTAAAAGAACATCAACATGTCTTAAGTTTGAACAATTTAAATGTTTCATTCCAAGTATTCATGATATTTATATATTGAACAAAACCAATGAATTATATAGATTTGCTGATGAAAAGATTATTTTTGTGAAAAAAATAACATATGAATTTGGAATTAATCCATATATTGTAGGAACATTATTGTTTTCACTTAAAAATAAAAAGATAAATAGTTATGAAATTATGACAGAGAAAGAAAATAATGATTCAGCACTAAATGATATTTCAGCATTTACTATTTGTAATAACAATATTTGGCTTGCTATGCCTATGTTTAATCAAATTGGAATTGTTTCTTTTAATTATCAAAGAATAAAAACTATTCCAATGAATTTTACACCATCAATAATGAAAGTTTATGGAAATTATGTTTTTATAGCAGGAAGAACACATTATAGTATTATTTCATCAATAGGAAATATTGTGTATAATGCAGAAATAAAAGTATCTATGATAGATTCTATTTGTTTAGCAGAATCTCAACATAAAAGAGATTGTCGAATGATAATATTAAGTAATAAAGAATTATATGACTTTGGTACAAAGTTACAACGTCATAATATTATTAAATCAGAAGTAGTTGGAACGTGTTGTATTTGTGGACAAAATTGTATGGATTTAGAATGTTGTATTTGTCATAAAAAATACCATGACAAATGTTTTACAAAAACAATGCATGAAATTGAACCTTGTTGTGAGATGAAGTAAAACAATAAATGAATTAATTGAATCATACTAATTCTTGAAATAACAGAAAATTATTATCTAAAATTTAGTTAATTTTCTTCTTTTTTTATTATTCCAGAAAATAATTCTATTGAGTGTCTTTTAATTCTACGTCTAAATGTTTCTTTCTTTTTTGATTCATTTTCTTGTAACAATTTTGGCGTTGGTTTTGGTGGTTGTTCAGATGGACTAATATTAATTTTAGGTAATTGTGATTTTGATCGATGAACAAGTATGAATTGGTTATCATTATTTCCAATAGATTCAGTTTTTCCTTCACTTAGTCTTTTCTCTAATAATGCAGGACTTATAGACCTCATTTCATGAGCTATTTGAATATAATTACCAGATAATCTTTTAGAATTTCTTTTAGTTTTTGAAATCAATTTATTTTTAGAATAGAATGTGCCATAATCTATATGTGGTTCATAACTAAAAGCAGGTTCTTTTGGAAATTCCATTCCAAGAGCTTCATTTCTTTTTTTAATATCTTCAAATAAAGAATCAAAATTTGTCAATACAAATTCAAAAGAAGAAATACAATCTATAGTAAAACTAATCTCATCCTTGGAATTAATTTCAGGTAATCTACAAACACAAAGAGCAAAACAAATTGACATATTTTGAAAATTCATCATATTTTCTTGTTGGTTAGAGCAAATTTCTTGTAAAAATTGAAGAAGAATAAAGAGAGTATCTTGATTTGGAATAGGTAATGAATTAATAAATTGTTTAGGATTGGAATTTTGTTTTAATTGACTAAATTCTATTGCTTTATTAAAAGGAATAACTGGTTCTATCATTAATTTTAAACAACTTTTTAGTAAGGTTCCAATAACAATACAATCATCACTGAAATCACTTCCAATATCTTTATCTAAATCTATTATTTCTTTTAATGGTTTAAGTTCACCAATACTACAAGTTAATCTAAATAATCCTTGAGTATGAATTGCATCATGTTTACGAAGGCATTGAATAGAACGATAAACAAAATTTGGAACTCTCCAACCACTTTTTTTAACACTAAGAACTAATGGTAAACCTATAATACCATATATTCTGGTATATGGTTCTATTTTTTCTATCCAATTTTTTGTTTCTTGTGGGTTATGACAAACAAATATATAAAGTTTATCAAAATGTATTTTAAATGCATTTTCTCTTTGTTCTACACTTAGACCATTATGTTCAATTCCCATTTCAAGAATAGAATTTGAAAGAATAATTCTAATACAACTTCCAATATATAATACCATTCCATCTGTTTCTTCTTCTTTCATTTTGATACTTTTTTCTTTAATTTCTTTTCCACACCAAATACCAATAACACTTTCTTCCATGAATCATCTTCATCATTTTAAGTTCTATTTTTTATTGCTGATAAGAGACTTTGTATTTACTATTAGAACCACTCATCTTCTTTCAATTTTTGTTTTCTTTTCCTTTCCACAAAAACAACAAAATGTTAGTAATGTTTCTTTAAAAAGAATAGACTGAAACAATAACCAAAAATATATATATTGAACATTTGTTTTATTTAAATAAATAATAGAGTATTACCACAACCGCCTTTTTTCACGATGCTTTAATCTATTCAATTAACAACAACTAACCACTTCTGTTTGAATAACCACTAAGATTTATTTAACTCATTTCTAATAATAAACAAAATTATTGATACTCATAAAATCAAATTAAACTTTTTTATTTATCCTCATTCTCTTACTACTTTTTTATTGGGTTTGTTTCCTTAAATTCTAATTATTCTGTTGTTATTCTATTAACTTGATAGAAGAATGAAGTGTAGTTTATTAAAAATAAGGAAGAATTAGTTAGTATATGCTAAATTATTGTTTTTTCTTTTTAATTAATTCTCTTTTTATTACTTTTCAATTATTTTTCTTTGGAATCAAAACAAATTTAAGTAAGAAATAAAAGTCAATTTATCAGTTTGTTTATTAATAATACTGATTCGATGGAGGTGGGATACTAGCTGATGTAGTATTAATATCAACTCCTAATAATGGAGCTTGCTCAGCTGGTTGTTGATTAAATACTGACATATTAATTGTTTGTGGATTTATTATTGGAGCTTCATATGTTGGTTGTTGATTATAATAAACAGGAGCTGGTGGATTACGAGTTGGCATTGGGTGAATTGATTCATCCCAATTATCAATGATATAAACTTCAGATTCTGCTTGCCTCTTTATATAACTGTAATTTAATCGAATAAGATAACAAAGAAGTACAACTAAGGCAATAACTCCTACTATAGCACCTATACAAACAATAATACCAATGATTACTAATATAATAATTCCTATTAATCCTATGCCTGATCCACTACTTCCTCCTTTACAATCTCCTCCACATCCAGAACAATCACAATTATTACAATTACCACAACTATTATAGCTATTACCACAATCACATTTTAAACATGCATCACATGCATTACATGTGTCTGCACAACCTCTACACCCTTCAGCACAAAGATAAATACTTAACGCACAACAATTATCATTATGTATTGAACGATGATAAGGAGAAACATAACAACAATCAGCACACCAGTCACAACACATACAAGTTGCTAATCCACATCCCAAACAATCATGACAATTAGGACAGGTATTTGGAAACATAAAACATCCATAACAACATCCATACCTTGATAATATAGATCTCTTATAAATAAATGGCATACAACATAAAGAAAGACTACAACAAGCTCCTAAACGTTGAGCATCAGTATGAGACAATTCATCATCATCAGTATCTTTATGTTCTCCACATAGACATCTTGAAATCATTCCACAAATACTCCAGAGTCCTAAAACAAAACAGTCTAACCCAAGACCCAAAACCATATCTCTAACAAAGAAATAAGGGTCAGAGAAAAAATGGCAAGTACTATCATTTTCTGATAAGAAATAATGAGTAGAATAATTATCAATTGTATAAGGAATTAATCCAGAGACAAATACAAATAAGCAAATTGCAATGAATAAGAATAATATTTGAAAAATTAATTTAAAAATAAACTTTGTAATCAAACAAGAAACAGAATGTTCAACAACATGTTTAAATGTATAATCTACTCCACATTGTAAACATTTGCCAAAAGCAACAGGATCATTACAAAAAATTCTATAAGCATTAATACATGATCTATGTACCCACTTGTTTGGTCCATCACATCCACATGGAGAAATAAGTTCTTCATCACTATTAGGATCTAAACAAATACGACATATTTTAGGATATTCTTGGTTATCTACTTCGTTATTCATTATTTGAAAATCTTATAATTTTTTTCATCTTTAATTTTCAATTTTATCTTTTTTGTCTTTGAATGAAGAATCGGCAAAACAAGAAATTTGGTAATTGAATAAAAATATATTTTATTTATTCTTTCTTTATTTATAATTCTTTTTTAATAATTATAAAAATAGAAATCAAACTATATTTATCAATGAAAAATACTTTTGTCGCTTTCAAAAAATTAATTAAACTTTCTTTAAAAATATCATTTTCTTTTAAATATGTATTTATAAAAATATACCCAATTCCTTTTTTATTCATTTTTCTTTTCATTTTTATGATTTTTCGTTATGTTTTTTTTTCTTGACATTTCTTATTATTCACTTATTGTTATTTTTTTCAATTACAAAAAGTCAAATATGGATTTTCTTTTAATTTGTTTATTTCGTGATATTTTCTATTAATCTAAAACATAATCTCCTTTTTTTATAAAAATAAATTAAGATACAATCTTTTAACTAATAACTAACAACAAAACTAATTAGAGTAAATAAAAAGCCAACCTTCTTTCTGTTATTTAACCTCTGATTTAAATGCATCTTTTGAGGTATGTGTTCTAAGTTATATATTATCACATTCAATTTAGATAATTGCCATATATTTCATTATAAGTTATAATATATCACAACAAAAAATAAAGAGTGAGAAAATAGAGGAAAAAAGTGAAGCAATAGAAGGATAACACAACAAATAAAAATAAGTGTAAGTATCAACAAAAATAATAGACACATCCATAATAAGAAGAAAAATCGGATTAGAGAAATAGAAAGAATGTAATCAATCACGAACAAAAAATTGTAATAAGATAAATTCACATTCAAAATAGTGTTTGAAGAAATTAAAAACAAATAAAAGAAACTATTAGTAAAGTAAAGTTATAATAAAAAAGGAAGGCAAATTTATAAAGAAAATAAAAACATCAAAACATGAAAAAGAAAGAAAAATTAATAAACAAAGAATAATTAAAATGAAAAAGTATTAAATTAATTTTTCTACTTTATTTTTGTTTGTTTAATGTTATTTCATTCACTCTCTTTCAAGTATTATTCATTATGTATTCCTATATCTCTATATTCTCCTCTACCACCCCCAACCACCTCATAAGTTTTTCATTTGTTCTTTTTCATTTTAACTTTTATCATTATTTAAAATTTTAATTATAATGTTTTGTTTTTTGATTATTTTCCTGTTTCTTTGTTGAATATTCCATATATTGTTATTATTATAATTACTTCTATTTTATTCTATCAATTTGTTTTATTTTTTTTTCTAAGTGAATTTTATCCATTTCTACTGTTTTAATAAATATTAATTTTATCTTTTTATCATTTATTCTTCTTTGTCTTCTATTCTATATAAATATATTGTCTTTTATGAAATATTCATTGTTATTGATTCTTTCTTGTTTCAATGATTGATTATTTCCTTATTTTCTATTCTTCTTTTGTTTTTATCA